AAAAAAAAATGGAACCCAACTGGGTTCTTGGGTTCACTGGGTTCAAGAACCCAGTGGAAGTTGAAGGGGAAGAAGAAAGGGAAGAGGAAAGAAAAAGGGAAAGGTGATAGAGAGGAAAAAAAAAAAAACTAAAAAAAGGAATTTTTTTTTTTGTTGTGGGATGAGTTGAAATATTACATGGACATGCAAAATTTTTAGCCATGTTATTTATTCTTGTCTAGTTAATAATCTTTCATATAAAAATTACACATCATGCTTTTTTGTTAATTAACGTGGAAAAATCACTGAGTGTTACAGATATTAATGGAGTTACTAGGAGATTTGACGGAAGTTTATTTTTCGTCCAATTGGTACCTTATTTGAAAATTGCATGTAATTCGGGACCTTAATTGAGTACAATTGAAATTTGGATCCAAAATTATGAATTTTGTGTAAGTTTGAGTCCTTATGTCATATTTTTGTCATTGTTTAATCATAGGCTCAAAATAGTTTTCGTAATTATTATTGAACCATTGGCCAACAAAATTAACATCAAACCTTTACACGTGTGACAAGTGCATAACTTAAATTCTTGATATTTAGGTTAAGCCTATTATTAAAATCTTTATAATGTAATCAACTATCTAAATAATTTAGTAGTCATCTCCTTTCGTAAAAAATAAGAGATATGAGATGGTTACAACTAAGATTAAAAAAAAATCTCTATAATGTAAACCAAATTAATTTTTTTCAATATATTTAGAAAGTCTACATATATTAACAATCTATTAATTTACATAAAAATTTTTATTTATTTTAAATAAAATTTTAAATTTAAATTTTACAAATAAAAAAATAAATATTAAGAGAATTTCACGATATGACATAATTCAATTTTAAGATACGAGTACCCATGCTTCATCTTTTAAGATACGAGTTCGAGTTCCTTCTCCGTAGGCTCGGAAAAGCGATGCATTTATGAAAAAGGTAATTGTTTGTAAATTGATAAAAAGTTGATAGAGATTGTCGTGCGTAGAATAATTTTGTTCTCTTTAATTCTAAAGTCACATATCTTTTATTATAAATTCTCAAATAAAAAGCATATTTCTCCGAGAATCAAGCATATGCTGTCTATCTAAAAAATTAGAACGGACGAAAGAATGCCTCGAAGCATATTCTCTTCCCGTCTCATCCGGCGGGAGTTGCGGACCACACAGTAGCGGGTAGCATCGGAGCCCAATTCCACTCTGACAGGTATGATTCAGGGCCCATATTTCGCTGTCCATCCTCAAATTATTCAAGGAAATGGGCTCCTCGCTCCAACCCAGCTCCCAAGTTCCAACTTCCTCTGAGCCCAGACTCTGTTTGTTTGCCGAGAAAACTCTGGGAATCAAGCACAGAAAAATGTTGAGCTTGCATGCATGTTTTCCTGTTTTCTTAGGGGAAATTTTTGCCTCCTAGCAAGTAAGCTGGTAAGGCCTGAATCTGATGCTGCCATGCAATGAAGATTACTGTAAACAAAACTATAATTAATCAGCGTTAATTTGGCAGAAATTCTTCTGCATTTTGTCTGGCTTGTGAACGGCTCCCTTATGCATTAATCCTCTTTTGGAACTTCATCATCTTGAAACTGGGCATCATTGTTGTTGAACGAAATACGAGGCTTCCCCATTCTGAAGTTGAGTACTGTTGCATTCATGTTGTACTTAATTTCTCCATCATATAGGAACTTCCTTATGTGGTGTTCTATGTCTGAGCCAATCAGACGAAGTGTGTATTCTGTCAATGGAGCATGCTGTAAATTTTTTTGAACAAAAATTATCATATCTCAGTTGTTGGAAGCAATACTAAAATATGCAAATAATGCTTAATTTGAGATGGTCAGACCAGACATGTTTAGTTTTGGTGTGACAGAAAACAGGATTACCTCATAGTGATCCACAAGGTCCTGGAAGTATGAATAAACCTTGTTGCAGGTTTCAGTAGTCCAGACAAACTCATTGGTAGGGTCAAGTATGAGGGTGAGCTTATCTGTCTGCGTTTGGTCGTATGCAGAGGTCTGTGGATGGATATAGGCAGCATATATCCTGACATGCCTGGTGACATTGCTCAGCCACTGCCCTCCGTATTCTCTGGTGATATTTATGTTCTTTATGTTTACTTGGGGTTCCACTGGTCTTGGTTGTGTCTGTTTCACTTTTTCTTTCTCTTCTGCCACATTTGGTCCCTCTGATTCTTGGACTTTCAGCTTGCTGTTGTGCTGAGACAGAGAGGACCCTTCTCTTTCTGATAACTGTTTTCCTTTCAGTCCAACCCAGCATGGGGAGTGTGCAGGCTATGCAAGAGGAGGTTGCTGCCATGAATGAATGCTTAGTGTGTCGATTTGGCTACTGGTTTTCACCTTTTCATGCTTGAATTTGTTTTATAATGGAAAAAAAATGTTTTGTTAAATTCCAGTTAGGACAGTGAAATTTCATCCATTTGATGTGTGGATAAAAGATTTCATCCATTTTAGGAGCAGGCTTGTGGCAGAGAAAAGGGGAAAGAAAACGGATATAAAACAGAACTAAAATGTATTGGCACAAACTCTCTTTAGATTAGATTTCATTTAATTTCAGAATCCATACACAGGGTTTGTGTGAAAATATATCATCCCCTGTAAAAAAGAGGATTTGAAAAAAGAAAAAGAACCAAAAAGGATGAAAGCCTAAGGAAATCTAAGTAAACCCTGTGTGCCATCTTTACAACAAACTGATGGAACTCCCACATGATAAGCTCACATGTCATCACACTTGAGAAGAATGATTATGCTGTGTCTGAATCTGTTTCATTATACCGATTGGTTATAGCTCACATGTCTTCACATTTGAGAAGTTGCTCTATAAAGATGATTATGCTGACTGAATCCGATTCGTTATACCAATAGGTTAGCTCTCCATATGTCATCACACTTGAGAAGCTTTTCCAAAAAGATGATCATCATGCTGTCTAGATCCGATTCATTATACCAATAGGTTTGATAAGCTCATCAAGATCATCTAACTGTGAATCCCAGGGATCATCATTGCCACCGATTGCTTGCTCACTCATTGCATCACAACTTTCCCTCGCTTCTTCATCGCTAACATCAAGGCTAATATAATCAGAAAATTGTCCTTCAGATAAATTATCGTCAACTCTTGGTTCTCTCTCAGCCAACACTCTTCCTGGCTCTAAAATGTCAACATGCATGGAACCAAAGTACCTCCCATGTGCATTCTTGTTTTCCCTTGATCGCTGGCTTTTCTTGCCCCTGCTCCACTTCTTGGGATGGTGAAGCTTGCATTTGGATCCTTGAGAACAGGATCCTGTTGCTTCAAAAATGGGACAGACATAGCTGTGCTTCTTCCGACACTGAGAGCAGAGATGCATTCCATTTTACTTACTCAAATCAACTCTGGAGTTTGATCTTTCATGTTCATAACAGAGAGGGCAAGAAAGAAAGGGAAGTTTGACTAGTTGGGGGAGTTTTTTTTTGGGGGGGGTTGGGGGGTAGTTGAAAGATCATATATAATAAAAATAAAAATAAAAAACTCAAATCCTAAAATCGATGGAAATTTGACAAGTTGACATACAGTTAAAATCAATGGAATGTCATCTTTCTATTTATCCAATCCCTATCAGCATTCTCAAGAATGTGCATTTCAATCTTTATAAGGACAAAATTGAAGGAACAAAAGCTGCAGAAACTACCATAATACTCAAAAAGTAATGTTACCATTTCAAAGAAAAACACATCAACGTGAATCCACACACATGCAAGAAAATAAAAAATCAAAAGATGATTCTAATTAGTTTAGCACCCTCACAAAAGAGGTAAACAAAGACCTAAGGACACATAATATTAGCCAAAATTAACATAGCCAAAATAAAAATTTTTAGGAAAACTAATTAGTAGACATTTTTAGTTTACCAGCCAAAATTAATTATCAAACGCTAGAGTCATCACCCTCTAAATTATCAAACGTGGATAGGGGCACTCTGTTAAACTAATTAGGTATCTTGACTTTAATTAGGGCTTAAAGTCTATTGATTCTATTGAAAGCAAGCATTTTTATGATATTTAACATTATGTTATGCACAAACCTAGCCATTGCCAAACAAAAGATGATTAAATCTTTCTGCATAATATGGAAAGCATGAGGATCACACAGTGATGAGTGATGAGGGACTACCTCATTGCCATCAGCACAATAGCCCCTGAGAAATCCTTCACATGTAGAGGCATTTGGATTCACATGTACATGCCGGTAAGGACAGTCTTCATTTGTGCATAGACCTGCCACCATTATATTTGTCAGAATTCTAAAGAGGTAAATAAAGACCCAAGGACACATAATCTAGCCAAAATTAACCTTGCAGAAAATATGAACAATCTGGCATTCTTTCAGGAATGACCTGCGTGAGAAATTGAATTAAATACAATAACTAAACAAGATAATTAGTAATCTCCATCGATAGACCAAATTAACTACATCTGTGATAAACCTTATGAGTCAATTTGCAGTCTGGATTCGAACATAGACCCTTAAGAAATTTTGTGCAGACTGCAATTTTTGAGGAATCATGAATATAGGGGCACTTCCCATCATCTTTGTTGCATTTACCAAATCTTGTGAAAAACTGACAGTACTTTCGCCTTTTTGACAATCGCAATCTGGCAGTATGCAAACTCCAACGAACTTTTTCACTAGCCAAAATGCGAGTGCGTTTCTTTGGATCTCTAACAAGCTGATTACCATTTCCAATTCGAACATACCTGCCAATTTTTGGAGTTTATTATTATTTTTTAAGTGAAGTTAAGTCTGATTAAAATATAGAACTACAAAACTGGAATTTATGTGCAAAAACTGAATACTAGCTACATTTTTTGGGCCAATGTGTACCACCTACAAAACTGACATTTATTTGCAAAAACAGTATACTAGTTACTTAATGCACTCAAAAAGATAACAAGAATATGACAATATAACATACTCATCATTGCCAATAATTAATCTCCTTGGAACAAAAGATTTCTTTGTGTTGTTTTCTGAGGGGAAACCAGCAGAACATGAAGATTCATCATCTGCAGGCATAAGTAGAGTTATGAGAGCAGCTTGATATAAAAATGTTTTGCTTTTAGATACACAGTCAAATTGAAGCAAAGGAACAAAAATGAAAGAAATATAAAATCACAACATAAGTCAAAATTGGATCAACCTGATATTCTCTGAAGCGTTCGTCTTGAAGAATCCATTTTGTAGCGAACGGAACCAATGCGGAATATGCGTTCCCCTAAAAAGAGTATTAAACACTTACCTTTTTGCAATCTTGAAGCAAAATTTTCAAAAATCACAGACAACAAATGTAAAATGCAGCAACCACTTCACAAAAATGCAAAAACCTTGCTAGATAAGCCATGTTGAGAACATTAATTGACCTACCAGGCCGAAGCACTGTACCACAAACTGACTTATTGGAGGAATTAATTTTGTTGTCTGTGCCATAAGGAGTGCAAGCAATACCACTTTGCTCTCTTTTCTTCCTCTCTGCTGCAGCAACTGCTAGGGTAGCTTCCTGTTAAACAAAGAATCATTTTCAAGTGCAATGAAATTATTTCAGAACTCAATCCTAATTCAACTTCCAAGGCAAACGTCAAAGTGATGAAGTTCGTGTGCTAGTGAGTTCTACAACCAACCTCATTAGCTTTCTTTGAGCGGCTCTCAATGGATTTAGACCATTTCAAACTAGAACAGCCAACACTTAACACCTTTGATTTTCGAAGAGAAAATCCATTAATTGATCTTGTGTAAACAGCATTCCTTTTTCTTGACAGCAGCAATTTTCGACTGCAAAAGATTAACAATTTAGTGTTTCCTTTGGCAGCCTACAAAGTTTTTGAGAAACATGTATCTGGAAAACAAGTAATATACCATAAATTGGAAAAACAGGCTATAGGGCGGGACATATACCTAATTACAGATAAGGAACTGTTACGCCAAGAAACTGAATTGATGAAACTTCTCCAGTAAGTTACTCTCTTCCAGGGGAACAGTTGAGGAAAGACCTTCGGACACAATGAATCACTGTGGTTATTTGATAACTGTGCACCACGTAGCGTCCACACCATAGAAAATTTGGAACGTTTATAGTTCCTTGCTACCACTGCAGATGGGTAGCCCATGTAAGTTCTTGCCAAAATAGTATTCATCACATCAGTACAAGGTAATGAAACTCATCATCCACCAAAAATATTGATTCAAAAACACCGAGGGTTCACATTCATACCACACATGTAGATGACTTACAATGGAAAAAAAAATAAACAATTTATACAACTAGCAGTAATTAATAGGAATCAATTAAAATGGAATGGATGGTCATTTATTTACGTTTCCTTTTTTGGGGTTGTGCAGCCAAAGAAAATTTTATAGTTAACAACTGTAAAATCTTTTATCAGGAAAATCAGCAGAGAACACTTACCACCAGTTATTTAATCATTGAATTACTTAAGCTGCTTCATATGAGAACTTGGAAGTTGGGAACATAAAAATATAAAGGCTGATTAACTGAAAAAGCCAAATAATAACAGATTGAACTGGAAAGCAAGGGGCAAGACAAGCTACTAAAAACAGTAGTACACAGCTAAATATAGGCATAGTATGAAGGTAGATATTTCTCACGAATTAAAGTGATTAAAAATTTCATTATGCAACAAGTCCATCTGCCTGAAGACATGGCTAGCATTAATCACATGTTACCCCCATCACATCTGACAGAGTTGAAAAACAATGTATGAATGCAGCCACAATAGAGAATAGTCCCTCTGTCCCAAAATAACCATCATTTTTTACTTTGAGTTTGTCCCAAATTAATTGTCATTTTTTTCTTTTTTTTAGATAGATAAATATTTTTTTCCCTAGTTTAGCCCTATCATTATCCATGTATTTTAATTAATTATCCTATCACAAAAAGTATCCCTTTATCTTTTAGCTTTTTCCTAAGGTAGTACAGGTAAATACATAAATTGTCCCTAAATACTTAATTTGGGGAAAAAGTCAAAAAACAACAGTTATTTTGGGACAAAGGGAGTATTAAAGAAATACAACACAGGGAGAGGAAAAGTAAAACAATGAATGAAGAATTCCAGCATCTTAATTCTTAAGAGATAAACATTAGACAGAATATACATCTAATAAAAGCTACTCTGCCAAAGACTATGAACCAGATCAGAGATTTGGCCACTCAATCAACTGAATGAAGATAAAGAAAAGGTTAAAATGATAAAAGGTTCTGGGAAGAATAATTTCATTTAAGCAAACCTTTTTGAGAGTGCCTCTTGCTAAAATTTCTACCAGAGATAACTTTGGGAGTTGCTTGTCTGCCTGAATTTGATTTTTCATCAAGAATCATAACTGTTTGCTTCTTTTCACTCTCCACGGCTGCTCTAATTAACTGATTCTTGCTCCTCTTGTAGTAGCCATCATAGAGGGAGGAAAAAGTTTGGTTCTTCCCAGCATTGTGAATGTATGCATTATGTTGATCTGAAGTTGCAACCAACTGATTTGATTTTGGCTTTACATAAGTTATACTCCTCACAATTGAAGAAACGAGGTTTTCACCATTATGTTCAGTTCGACTATCCAAATTGTTAACTGAACTATTTTCATTTAGAATTTCAAAATTCTTCATTCCATCCTCTGACAAATTCAGCATATCATCAGTTTCCAAGGGACTTGTATGATCTCTGGGTTCACAGTAATCGCTGAGAGAAGGTTCTGCTAACGGGGATGGGGTATAATCTCCTGAAGAATTGGCTGGATGATTCAGAACTTTGGTGAGACTGGGTAATGGGGGTGCTCTGGGCCTCTCAAAAGGTGCATTCACTCCTGATGGCAGCAAATCTAATGAGTCAGCAACATCAGCCCTACTGTCACCTCCTGTGCCTTTCTTCATCTCATCCACATCCAAACTGTTCAACCGGTAAACTGAAGAACTAGCAGAATTTCTAACAAGACTGTTGCCTTTACGAATGTAAGGAGCAGGTGGAAATTTTGGAACTTTTTTTGGTATCAGCCTTTTTGAAGGAACAGTACTCAAGGGAGGATAGTTTCCAGGAAGTGAAGTAGAATTACCAGGTCGATGCCATGTTCTGGCAGACAAAACTATATTTTTTGGAGTAAAAAATGGTGAGCGACTAAGATAATTTCTTTGAACAGCATGATTGGGCTGGTTTTTACCACCATGGGCTCCTCTTCTAGGATTTTGTACTTGAGTTGTATTTTTAGAATCCTCTGATGGTGATGCACCAGACTTACCAGCAACTGAATGATCCATTTCCATTGCATCAATTGGGTTCAATTCATTCTCAGAATTCTGGGGATACAAAGAATCACCTTCAATCACAGTCTTCTCATCTGGATTACTTTCACCAGCACCATAGATCTTCTGTACTGATTTTTTGCTTTCTGAGGCTTCCCCAGCCAATTGAGACATCATCAAGGTATTGCAGACTTCTGGAGAAGCCACAAGAGATAGAAGACCTGGTACAGGCATCAGTTCATCATCAGACCTGGTAGTGGGAACTCCATCAACAACTGAAGAATTTGTTACAGAAGGTAAATCTTCCTTAACAAAAGGATAACTTTCATATTGTTCTGCATAAGGGCTCAGCAATCTCTGATCAAATTGGGAAGACTGGTTTTCTGGAGGGGTTCCAGATTGGGCAGCGTTATAACAAATAATGGTTTGCTCTCCTGCAGATTCCGCACCTGCACCTGCATTTTTGTCATTTTCACCATCAATATCCATTGGATCACCACGCACAGCTGTAGCAGGAGTTACCATTGACAACTGATCACATCGTGGTCTTGACAAACAAAGAAATAATGGGCTTGCAGCAGCTGATTCCACAAAAGCTGAATAAGAATCAACTCTAGGGCAATCCACAGTCAAATTATCATTCCTAGAGACATTTCTTAATCCCATAGTCAGAGAAGATCCATCTGCAGAATTGTTCAACAATACAGGACTCCCTGACATTGGTGGCAAACCAGCAGTGATAAGAGCATCAGTGCTAGCTATTGTAAGTTCCTGTTCTGATTGTAACAGATGATCATCAGAATTGGCTGGTAATTGTACATCACACGTGGCCATCTCAGCAACTGTAATTCCCTCCCTGATTACAGATTCTGTAAGACTAGAAAAAGAAGAAAAGACATTCTGTTTTTTATTCTCCTCTGAACACTCATCTGGACTAACATCTATACTATTTTTAATTGAAACCTTAGCCTCTGAAAAGGTATCCCTTGAACCACTCTCATGACCCACAGTAATTTCATTGACACAACACTGCAAGGCAATGTCTAGACAACCAACATCAGCAGTGTCTGAAGGTGTAGGATCTTTATTAGATAAACTTAAGGTTGTTTCCAAACAATTTGCAGAGTTAACCAGATCTGCAGATGCCATAGCTATACCAGAACACAATGAGCTTGAGTTGACAGACTCAGCAATCCCAGTTTTTGTCTTATTCAAAACATCAGGCATATCTTCCTCTCTGCCAATTGATGGTATAGCAGTGGGGGATCCCTCTGTGCCACCATTCTCATGAGATATGAGTTTCAGGAAATCAGGCATATCTTCCTCTCTGCCAACTGATGGTATAGCATTGGGGGATCCTTGGCTGACACCATTCTCATGAGATATTGTAACCCCTTGAGGAGACAAGTGCCCTCCAAAGTCATCACCTATATCATGCTTACTCTGCATGGAATTGGTATAACTGCTGTCAAGATTGGAGATGGAACCTCTGGGGTGGTTAGAGCAGTCCATATCAACCGGACCAATTTGAAGTCCAGTTTCATCTGAACAAGGAAGAATGGCAATTTCACTGCTTTCTGTGGAAAAATTAGATGTTGGGAACCCCTCTATAATACCAGTCTTGACAAATGGACTAGTGCAATCAGCACAACCATGCTTGCTACAAGCATCCACAGTACTAGCACCACAAATTAAACTACCATCAACGTCAGTGGACCTAACCATACCATTAAATGAGCTATTTGTATCTATAACACCCTCATTAACTGTATTTTCCTCTGACCTTACCAAACCAGAACTATTGTTGCTTCTGTTCTCACAACACTGTTGACTAAAATCTCCAACACTACCAGCAATGGAAGCAGTCTTCAATGATTCAATACTATCCTCCTCAATATTTGAGACAGTATGCAGTCCATGGCTGGAACTTGCAGCATTTAAAGAAATCGCATGAATTTTGGCCTCTTCCTTACCTGTAGAACTCAGTGGAGGAGATAAACTCTTCCTCTTCCTGTCAATCTTTTCAGCAGATGATCCATGAGGATCCACAGCAGGGAAAACTTCCTCCATGACTGTACCCAAGGCTCCATCCGTTCTCTCGTTATCAGGAGGCAGATTTGCTCCTTTAGGACAATGCTGCAGATCAACACTGTGCACTAAACTTGAATAGGCAGTAGGTAATTCTTCTTTCAAAGGTGAAACACCCTTGTCAGACACAGGACAACATTGTGGATCAACACTGGGCCCCAATTCTGCATCAACAGAAGGTTCTTTTTTCAAAGGTGAAACAATCTTGTCAGATACAGGACAGCATTGTGGATCAATGCCGTGCTCCAATTTAGCAGCAACAGGAGGTAGTTTCTTTTTCAAAGGTAAAACACCTGCATCTGACACACGGGTAGCAGCTGGACCATGAGCAGAGGCATCTACTTTTTTCACCACCCGTTTCTTCACAACTTTCTTCTTCTTTTTCAGAACCTTGACTGGTGGTGTGTTACAAACATTAGCACCATCTTTTTCTGGGACGATGCTCTTATGAGAAGCCTCAACTTTTCTCTCTGCAAGTGTAACATTGAGCTGACTAGAAGAAGATTGCAAACCACTATCTCTTTGGTTACTAGTAACAGAAGACTTGGCTTTCCCCTCAGAATGTTTAGGGTCCTTCTCACGAGTGGAGGCATTACTTGCAACCTGTGAAGGGCCACCAATATCAACTCTTTTCTCTGCAGGTGTAACATTAAGCCCACCAGAAGAAGATTGCAAACCACCATCTCTTAGGTTCCCAGTACCAGAAGATTTCACTTTCCCAGCAGAATGTTTGGGATCCTTGTCACAAGTAGAAGCATTACTTGCAACACGTGAAGGACCATCTAGTGTTACAGCAACTTTAGGTGATTTTTGGACCTTACTCTTTCTAAGTGAAACATCTGTCACACTTGAACACGACTTTGTAACACTATCCTTCCTATTAACAATACCAGAAGCACCTTTTGCCTCAGACTGTTTTAAGTGTTCAGAACTGGAAGCATTATTGCCATCACGAGTGGAATCATCCACTTCTATTGAACCCTCATTCACTTTAGTCAATTGTGAACTTGAACTATCCTTATTAGATGCCATGACTTTCCTAATCTTGCTAGCCCTAGGTGTCAAACTTGTATCAGAAACAGCTTCAGAACTAGAAGGTGAAGGTGCCACAATTGCTTTGGCTACCAGTGAATTGGATTTGAAGGACACATCAAGCTCTACAACACTTCCTTCTCTTTCTTTCTCTCCCATCCCATGATCCGAATGTGCAAGCTGATCCTTCCCCCTAAAAGCACCTGACTTGACCTCACTAGAATAACTCATGTAATGCGACCTTTCATCTTCTCTGCCCCTATGATTGGGTTTTGGAACCTGAATCCTCTGCAATGCACTCCTCCTCGGTATTTGCTTTCTTGGAATGCGATTATATTCATGACTACCCTCTCTGCTACCTCTATCACCATACCTTTCTGCTTCAGAATCATGATAATCAAGTTTCCTAGGAAAAATCCGCGGTTCATCCCTATTACCAATATCACCATTCCCCAATTCAATTAACTCATCACGGAGGTGTGCGTCCCTCAATACCTGTCTATCCTGAGCCCATCTCACGCTTTCAGTCATCACATCAGGCACCCCTCCACTAATCACTTCGTGATCATAAGATGATTCATATCTGTTATCACGGTTGGCCGTGTTCAACTCAAATCTCTTTTGAACAATCCTAAAATCCCTAGAAGATCTGTCGGGACCTTGACGGTCACCATGAACCCCAACAAAGTTCTCTCCTACTACTCTCTGATTTTGCTCAAACCGATCACCATCATACTCATTCCTATGCCTAGAACTAACCTCTAAATCATACCTTAAACTATCAATCGTCGGAGGCCTTCGATCAAGTTGATGATAATGCGACTCCCGATCCAAACTAGCAACTGGATGCTGCCTTGGCCCTCGACTATCGACCCAGAAATCAGCCCGGGTGTCAAAATCAGGTACCCGGTGAGAACGTTCCTTTTCAAAAGCAGGCCGATGTGGGAGTTCGTGGAATTGGTGGGTAGAATTAGGGTTAGGGTTGAAATTGGAGGAGTGGGTTAACTGTGGATGGTGGGAATGGTAAAGTTGATGTTGAAGAGATGGAGGCGGAGGTTGCGGCGGGGGAGGGAGAGTGTGGTATGATTGGTGTTGAGATGATGGCAGTTGTTGAGGAGGAGGTGGCGGAGGAAGGTGGTGGTGGTGGGTGTGGTGGCGGGATCCATAAAGATCGGGAGTTTGTTGCATGGAAGAAGGGAAAGGCACATACCTTGGGAGGTGTTGGTGTTGGTGTTGGTGTTGGTGTTGTTGGTGGTGGTGATAGGGAGGATCCATGGTCTCAACTCTGATTATGGGGCGGCCGAGACTGTTCTCATCTTTCATTTCGTTTTCTTGTGGTTGAGTTGAGCAGTTTCTTTTTGTGAAATTGCTTTCGGTTTAAGATTTGAGGTGGTGTACAGGTGTGTGCATTTTACAAAGCTTTTGGGAATACTTTCTATTTTTTTAACCCTCCAAATAAAGTCCTCTAACTTTGCCATTATCACCAAACAAGAACTCAACTAGTTTTTGTCGGCAGTTTCTTGGCTTAAGTGAAAGTTTTTGGGGTTTTTTTTTTTAATTTATTTGTTCGAGTTTTCTGATTTGCAGAATCTATGAGATCAAGGAGAGAACTACCTATATTCAACAATTCTCTATTAAATATTTTAAATTATACAATTCAAATCAAT